ACTCGCAAATGCGAAGTAGCTCAGGACTTAGAGGAAAACGGAGACCGAGTTTGAACTGAATCTCGAAGAAGGTATAACAATCTTGCGAAGGATGATCATATTTGTCAGAGGGAGAAGAGCTAAGGAACGCCTAACCAAGAGGTTGGCCGATTTTTTCAGGATTGAACCAAGGGTGAGAAAGAGAAGTAGAAGATGGGCGCTTGGAAGGTTTTCTGGTCGAGGATCGCTTGGGCGGAGAATTGGAAGAGGGAGGAGCAGTAGGCTGCGGAGAAATAACCTCGTCCTCCTCTGGCTCGTCTAACGCGCCAAGAGCAGGTCGACGGCGGCGGAGAGGAATGTTATCCATGGTATCCCTGGAGTTTGAAGAAGCGACGCGGACTGTGAAAACACGGGTAGAAACTGTATCACCGGGGCGAAGGATAGAGAGGGGGATAGCTTCGAGCGCAGAGGGCAGTATTTCAATCGAATTAGAGGAGGTCTCAGAGTCTGAAAATAAAATCAAAACAAAGACAAAGAGAACAATATCAAAAAAGAAGCCGCCGCAAGGAAGAAAGAGGAGAGAAGAAAGATTAGGGTTTTGGGAGAGAACAATCCAAAAACCAGAAGAAGAATTTGGGAGGTATAGGGACAGAAATTTCAAAAATTCTCAGAGGAGAAGCAAAACCCTCAACATTCAATAGACAGACAAGAGTATTCCAAGCACAAATTCAACACAAGACACGTCAATTTGAAACAATTCAACGGACAGATCAAGGGCACCCAGTAGTGAAAATCCAAGAATACACAAAATAGAACTACAAAGAATACAAATTCAAGCGTGGAGAGACTTACTCATAACCGTGGATCAATAATTGATGGAAGTTCGAAAGAGCGCAGGAGAAATCGTCGAGAAAGTAAGGGCTTTTTGCAGAGGGAATTATGGGCGCAGAGTAATCCGAAAATTGTGAGGGTGGAAAAAAGTCGAAAAATAAGCTAACTATGGAATTTATACCTTGGAAGATTGAAGGGTGGAAAGATAAGGGCCGTTGGATTAAAGTTAGATCCTACGGTGGGGAGTATTAATTCGCATGGGGTTCAAAACGGACGTGTTAGGCGAGGAGGCGCAATAATTAAAGTGCCTGACATATATGACAGACGTGACGCGTGGCAGAAAGCGGGCGCGACAGAAATGGCTTGAAGCAAATGACTTTATTTCTAGTGATTAATGGGAAATCATTCGAAGAAAAATGAGTGGGAAACTTACCAACCGGTCGATATCTAACGACGAGCCATCCAGGAGGTCGATAGATACCAATTCACTCTTAGATCGAGTCAATCAGACTCGACCAGAGTGTGGGGGACTAGATGATATGGGATACAATATATACAAGGCTAAACCGGTCTGCTCAGCCGGTCGAGAGGGTCAAACTAAGAGGAAGCCAAGACAAGAAGCGGGAGGATCGATCATTCAGACAGTCGACCAAGCAGGTGGTCGACCAGTCCATCGCACGACCCGAAAGACGATCGAGCAATCCGTCGCTCAACCAGATACCTGATCGGGCAACCTATTCGACCTCAACAGGTCGATCACTTCGAGGAATCAATAATTGACCTAGTCATGGGCGCGTGTATCGCGGGCGCGCGTAAGAGCCTCTGACTGAACCTCATGAGAATATTTACCCCATGTGCAGGAGAACACGTGTCGAGAATGTAGTGGGTGATAGCGATAACCACCTCTGACAGCTCCCAACGCCTTGCACCACCTCTGACATGTGCGCGGCGTGTCAGAGTACGGACGGGCAGCTTGGGCAGCCAACTCGCCTTATCCGGGCAACTATTAGGGCAGGTATCTCACCCCTATATAAAGGGGGTGAGCCTTTCTCCCTTAACACATTCTATTTTCCATACTTCACTTCAGTATACTCATACACATACTAACTTAAGCATCGGAGGCTCTTCACCGGACACAACCCCGGTGTGAGAGTTATTTGCAGGTTTCCGGCGTTCTACCAGCGAGGACAAGAACCGATCTATCCCGAACCGGACCAGGACGCTTACGCTTGCATTAAATAGCATAACCGACCAAAGACATTTCTGTCCATACGTAGTTGTTCGACGCAAACTTTGTTGCTAATACTTATAAGCTCTGCATATGTTCTACTTGCCTATGCAGGCGGTCTGACATTTTGAAAGAAGCCCGTCTGTTTTTACCTTGCCTTCTAGTAGGTCGTCTTTTTTACCTTACAAGGTTAAGGTAAAAAATCGCAAGCAAAAACACAATGGTCAACATATTCATTATTTTCTCAATGATCATGACAACTGCGAGTTCCTCCATTTCAATGTCCATATTGATGTAAACTATCTAAGACAAAGGTTAATGAGAATAATAAAAGGCAGAAACATATGTGCATGTTACATAAAATAAGGCATTCACATGGCCAACATAATCATATATATTTGACTAACACCCTTTCAGTTATCAAATAATGTAACAAAACAATTTCATCCAGAGGCAAATATTTACGGTTGTTAATAAAATATGGCCCCATAAATTAATACATCATTTCAACTGTGAGGTAGATGTGACGCCCCGTTCGTTTATGAATAATTTGGATTATTGTTATTATTATTATTTTTATCATAAATTGTGGCTACTATTATTATTGGTAATTAATTGTTTAAATGC